ATCTGCGATGAGATAACAGACGTAAAGCACGTGAGCTGCGCACGCTTGGTCCCCAGTCACCGGGAAGCGGGCAGAGTGGGAGGTCGCCCCTGCCTGTGCTGTGGCTGGCGATGATGGACAGACCTGTTCTGACTCCCGCATCCCCCCAGCTGAGTTTGCAACATCTGCAATGAGATAACAGACCTAAAGCATGTGAGCTGCGCACGCTTGGTCCCCAGTCACCGGGAAGCAAGAAACACCAGGCTGCAAGATGTCACCCTCCAGGTCCCGGAGGGTAACGTCATGCGAACCATCGGATGCTGGTCTCGAGACCGTCCTGCCTGAAGTCTCTGGGCCAGGGAAGCACCTGGGTCGGTCTCTTGTTTCTGCCTCTCTCCCAGAGCAGGCGGCTGTGGACATCGAGGCCTTCCTTGGGTTTTTTTCCCCTCCATAAATTCTGTTTTCAGAGCAGGTGCCTGCTCTGGTCTTACATCATTTGCAGAGATGAAATCACTCTATCCCTGCCCAAAATAAATTGGAGGGAGGATGGTAGAAAGCTAGTTTTTTTTCTTAAAGAATTGCATTAGAAGCAGAGAGGGAATACTTTGCTCTCTTGCAAGTTTACAGAGTTTTGGGGACACCTGGAAGTACTTGAATTGCACCAGTTTGGATAGGAAAAGAGTGTCTGTTGACTCTGGAGTTGAGTTACAGCTGACAATTAAGAAGTCAAATGATTCTTTTCCTTTCCCAGAAAGAGAAAAAAAAAACCACTAACCGTGTGCCTCCTGTCAAGCTGACCTATTCCAAAAACGGTTTGAGTTTTCTCTCTTGTCTGGAAACTGTCACCAGCAGGTCACATCAATTCCAAACAGGTTTTATTTTTTCATGGCTTTGCCTATGGGCTGAGAAATCGAAGGCAGGAGCGTTGCTCTGGGGAGGGCTGGGTACCTGCTGGCAGGGAGACAGGCGCAGGTGATGGTGGCTCTGCCTCTTCCTTTTTCTCTGTTTTTTGCGTTTTTGTAGCATGCTCTTTGCTTCTCTCTAAGCACCATCTCCTTTGCCTTCTTCTAACAATTAAGGCGTTGGGGCTGGGATTGCTTCCAGACCTTTGTCTCGTGGCAGCACGCCAGCGTCTGCAGCCGAGTCAGTGCAGCCCGTGCCGGTCCCACGAGATGGCTTGTAGCCGCGGGTTTCACACTGGCCGTGCATGCTGCGGGTTGGCCGGACCTATGTGCCGCCCAACTCCGTGGTTCCTGACGAGCTGTGGGTTGGGTTAATTACCCATCCCAAGCCTTTTCCGACTGCCCCCCAGCCTATCCTCGGTGGGTCTGTGTTGGCAGTGTGCTGCAGCTGAGTTTTGAGAAGGTGCGGCCTCTGCTGCTGCTTTTTTGGGGAGAAAACCCAGTCGGAGCGATGGATGCGAAGGAGGCAGTCTCCAGCCCCGCGGAGGATGCTTTGCCCGCCCCCCGGCTCGGTGCCTGCTCCAAAGAGGTGCCCCTGTGACTGGAACCACCTTCACACTGGGGTTTTGCACAAGCCCTGGTGCAAAGCAGCACGACTCTTGGCATGTACGTAGCGTGTCCTGTAATGGCATAGTGCAAATGCCACTAGCTGGTGCTTTTAAGTTTCCTAAAGGCAGTCTGGTCTCTGCTCGTGTGGGTTTCTCAGAGGGGAGCCTGTGTGCTCCATCGTCACGGGGCTGCAGGATAGCAAGCTGCCACCTGGGAACAAAACACAAAATCAAACGTTTTTTCCAGCCCTCGGGGTTATGCAGGTAACCTAAAAATACAGCTGGAATGTGACTGGGCGGTGACATCCTCCCGGAGCTGCCGGCAGAGCCGGCGCGCGTCGCCGGGCGGG